AATGATCCGAAATATCAATTTTAATTATTCCTGTTTTAATAGACTTATCTAGAAAAGAGTTTATTAGAATATTATCTATAGCACTAATGGAAGTTGTTGTAACACGAGTTGGTTTGTTAATGATTGGGATTACTTAATAGTAAAATAAAAACTTTCTAAATAGCTTTTTTTTTCATAAATAAAAATATACTTATCTTTATTTGTTTAGAATCATTTTTTTAAATTTACTTTGAAAATAAACGCTAGAAATTAAAGAAGATACGTGGAACTTGTCCAGTAAAACAGGCCAAGTTACAGACTTTTTTCGAATATAAGTACCAAATATAATGGAGAAACTTTCTAATCAATCCAAAACTAAATCCTAAAAATTTAACTAAAACAGTTCAAAAGTTAAATAAAGCAGTTTATTTAATACTTTTTACTAAAACGTTTTTTGTTAAAGCGCCGTTATCGTGAAATTTTTACACTATCAATTTTCATTATAATAAAATATAGCAAAAATATTTGCTCTAAATTTCAGCAAATATTTTTGCAGAAATTTAGAGCAATTTATTACAGTAGAATCCCGTGAACTCGTACCCTAGATATGTTGGACTATTACTTAGTCGGACGGTGTTTAACATGAGCATCGGTGACACCGATGCTCATGATGAATGCTTAAGTAGGACTTTAATTTTGAATTGTATACCAGTGCATATAACAACAAAAATTTCAATACTGTCAATAAAAATACCGCTGGAATAATAATACCTATTCTTTATATATTTGAGCCTTTATACTATATATTTGAGCAGCCGTGGCGCAGTGGTTAGAGTTCTGGCTCAGAACCCAGAGTTCCGAAGTTCAATGCCAGCTCCAGCCCAACAAGCGACACTGGTACGGAAGGAGGTGTGAACTTCCTGTTAAATGCTCACCCGCGCTGCTCTATGATAAGACTGTAAGGACTTCTGGGAGCACGTAAATTCATACAAAAAAAAAAAAATACCTAGTGGAAAAATCTTAAAATTTTGGGACCCTAATGGCAGGGTTTTTTTTA